TAAAGCTAAATTTGTGGAGCTTGCACCCCCTGTGCTTGTTTCCTGAAGAGTCTCCCCTACTTCCCGAGATAAATTGCCTAATAATTGTGAAAATGCACACCTGTTTTTGCAGAAACTGCACCCCAGTGGCTTTCTCTGAAAACATAATTTCCTCCCACAATTGTACTTAGGGTCAGCAGGACATTGGAAAAGAGGCTAGGCAAGCAGGTAGGAGATAATGCTAAGTGACTTCTGCCCGTGCTGGCACCTGCCTGAGCACCTCCTCTGATGGTGGGGCCAGCCTCTCCCAGGTCCCCACCAGCTTGAAGGCTGGGCTAAGTCCTTGAAGCCACCGAGCCAGGGCTGGCTTCATGGGTACGCTACCTGTGCAGGCGCACAAGGCCCCATGCTTAGAAGGGCCCTATGTTTGGGTGAATGCTCTACTGTAGCTGTCTTGAAATTCTTCATTATTTTTAACCAGGAGCCACGTGTTTTCACTTAGCTCCACAAATTGTGCACCTTCTCTGAGCACCCAGTACGTCACAGTGCCACTGTCCTCTGGTGGTCAAAAGTGGTAGTGCAGCCTCCTGACATTTGCCCCGCCCCTCCCACTTCCCAAGGACCCCTTTTGCACCCCAGTGTGAGCCGGTGTTAGACCCTTTTCAAGTATATAGTCCAAGGCATGGAGAGAAGCATGAAAGCCTCCAAGAATTCTGGTGGGGCCGTGTCCACATGTGCACCCTGTGGGTGTCCTGCTCTGCAGGTGTACCACGCTGTGGGTGTACCATAACAGGTGTACCCTGCAGGGGGTGTACCACTCCACAGCTTGAACACGGAGGAGGTGAAGGCAGGCAGAGGCACCATTTTATCATTCAATTTGCTTCTGATTTGGGTCTCTGCACTGTTTCCTCCAATCAGCTAGAATACAAATGAAGTGCCCGCAAGGCAGAGAGGCTCTTGATTTGATTTGAATCTCCAGGTGCGGCCTGGAAAGCTGTTCCTGTTGGGTAAATAGGAAGCCAACTGGGAAGGGATTTGCCTCGCTGCTGGAGCCTCTCAGGTGGGGGTCCAGTTGGCAGCCAAAGGGCTTCCTGGAGGAAGGAAGAGCAGGCCCAGGACAGAAGGCAGGGAAAACTGGAGCGCAACAAAAACACAATGCAGAAGGGGAAAAGCCTTCCTTCTAAGGCTTCTTGGCTCCTGCTACATTTCCTGGGATTGTCCCAAAATTTCCAACCTGGCCCTTTTCTGAAGGGATGCAAGATAACTACAGTTCTAGTAGGTCTTCAGAAAGCTTTGGTTTAACTCTTGTCCAAAGCGCCTGTTCCTCTTAAAGGAAGTGTTATATATAGGTCAGGTCTCCAGGTGG